GTCTGGGCTGGATTGGAACCCACCACCTTAGGTGTATGTGGCTGGCGCCTTAGCCGCTTGAGCCACAGGCGCTGAGCCACGTCCCATGATCTTCACAAATGTGAAGATATTATGCGATCAGAAATCTCTCCTCACCTTTTCCTTTGTTCTTAACTCATCAAACATCTGTTGAATTTCCACTTTCCAGTCATCTTGCATCGAATGAAAAGATTCTTGAGGCATTTCAGTGGTCACCGCCTCTTCAATGGCAGTCAGCTGTTCAAGAATTAAGGCAAACGACGGGCGAATGTGAGGGTCTTGTTCCCAGCATTCTAAAACAACCAAGAATCACGTTAATCCCATCTTTCGGCAGGACACAGATTCTCTCCGAGACATCAGAGTTTCTAAGAAATGTTCTACACTGAAATGTATTTCAACTTAGTACTTGTCATTCTAAACCTTAAGCCAGTATGTACAGTCTGCTTAAAATCTAAAGAGTTTAAGAATCTATTGATAATATTTTGAATAATTAATTTTACCGTGTCCATGTCAGAGGCATGAGTAATAATTACTATAAGTAAGGCCACCGTTGTCTACACTGAGCTGGAGGGTTTCATAGGTGGAGGTGTGTTCCCGTCCCTCACTGTAAACTCTGTTTTTCAGGGACCTGAGCCACCATGGTCAGATGATTTACAGATATAGAGTCATATGACTCAACCCCAAAACAAACGTCCTGAAATGTTCTGATCATGAAGTGAGGTGACTTGCAGCTTACAAAAAGAGTTAATTAACTTTTTTTTTGGAGACAGGTTCTCGCTCTGTTGCCCAGACTAGACTCCATGATCATAGCTCACTCACAGCAACCTCAAAGTCCTGGGCTCAGTTGATGGGACCACAGGCACGTGCCACCACACCCTACTAAGTTTTCTGGGTTTTGTAGACACAGGGTCTTGCTCTTGCTCAAGCTAGTCTTGAACTCCTGGCTTCAAGTGATCCTCCCAACTCAGCCTCCCAAAGTGCAAGGATTACAGGTGTGTAATCCTGTTAATTCTAAAAATTAGCAATTTTTAGAAGATAAGGATCAAATAGATAAGGTCATGACATACTGGTTAAGACTACAAGGCATTTTTGATCATCAAGTCTTTATTTTATTTATTTATTTATTTTTTGAGATAGCGTCTCAAGCTGTTGCCCTGGGTAGAGTGCCATGGCGTCACAGCTCACTGGTTAAGACTGCAAGACATTTTTGATCATCAAGTCTTTATTTTATTTATTTGTTTAGACACAGTCTCACTGTGTTGCCCTGGGTAGAGTGCCATGGCATTATAGCTCACAGCTACCTCCAACTCTTGAGCTCAAGCAATTCTCTTGCCTAGGTTTTTCTATATTTAGTAGAGATGAGGTCTCACATTTGCTGAGGCTAGTCTTGAACTCATGAGCACAATCTACCCCCCTTGGCCTCCCAGAGTGCTAGGATTACAGGTGTGAGCCACTGAGCCTGGGCCATCAAGTCATATTTAAAACAGCAGATCTGGAACCAATTCAATGCTGTGTTTGAACTGTGCTAGTGTACTTGGTGGAAACTTTATTACCACTCAGTTGAGTTTTATACATAAATGAGTCACTGATAAAATTGGATTGTTTTTATATTACTCAGCTCATCAAAACTTTACCTGACATTTTAGACCAAAGACTAAGTTTTGAATTCTTAAAACAGTATGGTAACTTAAAAGCAACTGAATATTAGAATCACAGAAATTGCTTTCTTGCTTACAAAAAATGAGGATGTTCTAAACAGCAATTCTCCTTGCCCCCTCAGACATGCAAACAAAGGTTGCACAAATACCTTTCATGAGCTTGGCAAACGGCTCAGGGCAGGTGGACGGAATTGGCAAAGTGAGCTTATTGACCGCTACCCCGTAAGCCACAGCAAGGCCATCGATGCCCCGATAGGGGACTTCTCCCGTGAGCAGTTCCCACAGCAGCACTCCATAGCTAGGAAGCAAGGTTGTCATAATGTTCAATGGACAAAATGGTATCATTTCCTTCTGACCCAGCTGATGGCACAAACATATCAGTAGCTTCACCCAGTTCCTAACAGGATCCTCTCTTCCAAGAAAGCCCATCATGGCTGACATCCCAAGACAGAGGGGGGATCTTCCCATCAACAACTCAAATACACATAGTACCCTGTACCCTAGAAGTCAAGTATGCACTCATTACAGCAATTACACTACCTAAAAAATAGGAAAGCTTAAGAGTAAGTTGGCTTAAAATGAAAATAGACTTTTATTTTCTGGAAGACCTTCTAAAATCTTGATACTGGTGTTAACTCAAATTCTTCTTAATTTTAATCAAACTTCAAATGTAACAAGAAGGTTCTCCTATCAAATGGAGTCATACAACAATGCAAACCTCAAATTACTTGTTCTATTGTCACGACTATCTTGTTCAAAACCATCAACTTCCCTCAAGGAGGCCCATGTTATTTACTCCCTGACTTTGAGCTGCGTATTTCAGGATTCATCAGGTAATGCAGAGCAAGCGCTCTCCTCGCAGGCTTCCAAAACCAGTCAGCACTGCTCACCTCCAGATGTCACTTCCCTTGGAGAACAAGGATGACTTGATAACCTCGGGGGCCATCCAGGCGTAGGTGCCGGCTGCGCTCATCCTGGTGGTCCTGTGCCACTCCCGGGCCAGCCCGAAATCCGTGATCTTCAAGGTCTTGTTACTGACGTCATCATGCTCTATCTTCTCCAACAGCAAAACTAGAGGAAAAAACCAAAGGTGGATGTTTCATATTCTTCTAAGCTTTCCAGGGCACAGAAAACATAATCTTCGTGGTAGCTGGCACAGTAAATGAGAATTAACTTGTATCTTACCATTTTATCTTAATTACTGGACCTCCCGAAGCAGGTCATTTGCACCTGAAGTTACAATTAAAACAAAAACAAACCCACAGACACAGTTCAGCTTAGGGCTCTTTTTGTGAATATTTCTCTTTCTTACAAAGTAAATGATTTCTGGGGCCAGAAACATTGACTGAGCTATCACAGGGGGGATCAGAAGTCTGTTGTGACAGTTTACTTGGCACAAAAAAATATATTGTTGTCTTCCAAGAAATTCCTTCCTAAGTGCAGAGTTTTTTCTACTGAACATATTACAGAAGATTGCAATTAAGTGACATATTACCACAGCTCATTACTATCAAACCTTATATTATATTAAATTTGCAAGGTGTATAGATACGTGGTACTTTAACTCAAGAAGACAATATAGGAAGTATAATTGCTTTACTGAAGCTTGAAATACAGCAAAGATTAAAAGCCCTACAGAAACCTAGGGGTTTCCGCAGCCCCAGGCTTCTGACAATGGAGAGCAGAAACAGGAGAACTTCCAGGGGCAGAGCTGATGCCAGTGTGCATCCTGGAGCTCTCCTGTAACTCTACAGCTGCAATCCCAGTGCCTCTACTCACTCCCCACCTGCACTCTTCCCAGCCCCTTCATTCCTCTCCCTTGAGCTGACTTTCCTCTGCCTAGAACCACACAGAAACGTTCCCTGGGTTCTCCAGAGGCCCTAAAGCAGCTGGATGCTGCCACTGCCCCATCTCCAACCCATTTTACGCCGCACCACCAACAATCTCTTCTTCCTAAAGTGGCGTGACCTTTAAACCGTCCATGAACAAACTACCAACGGACACGATGAGGATGACTCAAAGCCATTATGATACCGTGAGGGAATCCAGACACGAAGAATGACAGGCTCTGACTCCATGAGCTACTCGGCTAAGGGGGCTAGAGGGCTGGAAATCAGCTCGGTGGGTGCCAGAGAATAAGGGGAAGCTTTGACTTCAAAGAGACACGGGGACCTTTGGTGGGGGCCGGGGGTGACGGAAATTGTGCACCTTAGTGGTGGTGGTTACGCGTCGGTACACACCTGTCAACTCTCATGGAACTTATACTCTTAGAGGGTACATTTTACCGTGTGTAAATTTGTCCTCAATAAACCTGCATTAGGAAAAAAAAAAACCCTTCACGGTTTCCCACACTGGGCAATCAGGAGCCTGGGCATCTGCACAGCAACTTATACTTCAAACTTCATCTCATTTCCTCTAGAGCTGACTTCCTCTGTTGAGCCAAGCTGGCTTACCATCCAGTTCAAGCATCTTCTGAGTTAAACCTTCCAAATGACGCTAAGCAAAAAGAAATGATTCCATCCTCTATACTTACAGGAGGCTCCTGTCTCAAAGCATTTAGGAAGCACAGTGCACTACAATTATTTGTTTTTACCTGGTTTTCTGCTAGCGTAATAGCTGCAGTGAGGGGTGGGGGGGAAGACGGCAGGGAGACGGGGAGAAACAGGCTCAATTCACCTTCCTTCTCTGGCACCCACTCTGTTGAGTCTGATTCAGATAGGTGCTTGACAGCTACAGAAAACGTAAGCAAGTCCTGGACAGAACATGCACATTCTGATCTCTGCCCTTTGCTTGTGCCATGGCCATCCTTTAGAAATCACAGCATATTAACAGAAGAGTCATTAACAAGTTCAAAGTGCTCCAAGTACAGGCCTTGCACGTGACACGCAGGATTTCACTCAGGCCTCACAGAAACCCCAGGAGACAGGTCTTCACGATCAGAGAGAGTTAGTACTGAAAAAATAATGTGGCAAAGTAAATCCACTTTAACATTAATACAAATTTATAGCAAATAGGGTGCATGTCTGGGGAGAGGCTTACTCAGAGTTGATCTTGAAAAATAAAACGAGCTCCGCGCCTGTGGCTCAATCGGCTAAGGCGCCAGCCACATACACCTAAGGTGGCGGGTTCAAATCCCCAGCCCGAGCCCGCCAAACAACAATGATGGCTGCAACCAAAAAATGGCCGGCGCTGTGGCGGGCGCCTATAGTCCCAGCTACTTGGGAGGCTGAGGCAGGAGACTCGCTTGAGCCCAGGAGTTGGAGGTTGCTGTGAGCTGTGAGGCCATGGCACTCTACCCAGGGGGATAGCTTGAGGCTCTGTCTCAAAAAAAAAAAAAAAAAAAAAGAAAAGAAAAATAAAACGAAAATAAGTTTATTTCATTTTTGCCCAGCAAATAACATTGTTGTCAGAACTGTGGCAGCAATCATGAGCTATTTCTTAGAAGGGAAAAAACAAAACAAGTATGGGGGGCTCTTTGGAATGAATATCTAAACAAAATCAGAGAACAGCATCAGTAGGACACTTGTCATGCTCGGTTTTCCAAACCATTATGAAGAGGGCCACATTTCAAATGTTAGTTTTAGTAAAAATTAACCCTTCCTGAGTATATTCTATTTGTCAGGTGAGGTTACAGGTGTTTTAATCATATTAGCCACACCACCATACTACAGGGAGATACTATCACCTCTGCCTCACACACAAGGAAACCGAGGCCCCGAGATGTTCAGTGATCCACCCAAGGCCACAGGCTAGGGAACAGTGAACCCCAGCAGCCCTAACCCTGGTCTGTACTGCTTAACCAACAACAGCCATCAGTTTTTCACAAGAGCTTTCTTTGTCCTCTGGAAATCTCTACTGAAGTGCCCATTCTCCTCCTTAATTTCTTGCTGTTGGTCAATTAGCGGGTGATCTAAGCAGAGTCAGCCCAGGCTTAACTGAACGACTGCATGCTTCCTAGGGCAGGCTGCTTTGTGTGGATCCTCTGTGCCTAGAAATTGTGATAGTGCCTACATCACAAGACCACAGTGAAGGGTCAGTGAATGGCTGTAAAGTGCCCACAGCAGCGCCTGAGCTGTTCTAAGCACTCTGTGAGGGCCACCCACACACGTAGACACACCTTCATCAATGGCTTCCAAAGTGTTTTCAGCAAGGCTTCAAGTTCACATTGATGGATTTCAGGAAATTCTGCATCTTTTGCAAACCTTGCGATTTCACAAGGGATGTGAATTTCATTGGCACTACTATCAAATGTTTACAATATTAATTAGTCATCAGAGTTACTGCAGTTGCTGGAACGAAAACACTAGCTTTAAACACGGAGGGGTATTTGAGTATGTTCAGACTTACTAGATAAGTAATCAATACCAAAGAAATACGTGGTCCAGATTCTTTTCCGGTGTGATCTTGTAACTGAGATTTTGAGAGTGAGAACCCTCGGTGCTATCCTTACCCTCATTACGGAGATGACCAAGGGGATTTAGAGTTGTTATATACCCACGGTTACACAGCTGGCAAAGGCCAGGCCTGAACCCTTTCCTACGTAAGGAGGGAGGGGGGAGAGGAGACCCATCTCTCTCTGGAACAGTCTTTCATTCTCAAGGACCTGTTTTTCTTTCTTTCTTTCTTTTTTTTTTT